GCTATTTCCATCAAGCTACCATTGACTTTCTTTGCAAAATTAGAAAAACCTACTTTAAATTTCATATGGAACCAAAAAAGAGCCCGTATAACCAATAGAATCCTAAGCAAAATTAACAAAGCTGGAGGCATCATGCTACCTGACTTCAAACCATACTACAAGGCTACAGTAACCAAAACAGCACAGTACTGGTACCAAAACACATATATAGACCAACGGAACAGAACAAAGACCTCAGAAATAACACCACACATCTATTATCATCTGATCTTCAACAAACTTGACAAAAACAAGCAATGGGAAAGGAATCCCTATTTAATAAATGGTGCTGGGAAAACTGGCTAGCCATATGCAGAAAATTGGAACTGGACCCCTTCCTTACACCTTATAGAAAAATTAACTCAAGATGGATTTAAGGCTTAAATGTAAAACCCAAAAGCATGAAAACCTAGGCAATACCATTCAGGACATAGGCATTGGCAAAGACTTCATGACTAAAACACCAAAAGCAATGGTGACAAAAGCCAAAATTGACAAATGGGATCTAATTAAACTAAAGAGCTTCTGCACAGCAAAAGAAACTATCATCAGAGTGAACAGGCAACCTACAGAATGGGAGAAAATTTTTGCAATCTATCCATCTGACAAAGGTCTAATATCCAGAATCTACAAGGAACTTAAACAAATGTACAAGAAAGAAATCAAACGACCCCATCAAAATGTGGGCAAAGTATATGAACAGACACTTCTCAAAAGGAGACATTTATGCGGCCAAAAAACATACAAAAAGACTAATTCTTAATAGTCAAAACTTTTGAATTCAAAAGATGGGTCTCTGGGTTTCAAAAAGCTTTAAGTAAACAGGCTTAGGGTTTCTGCAATAAGCCAGATGAAGAACCAACTTTACCTAACTACATGAGGATTGCTGGGGAGGAGAAAAAAGGGAATCAAGTAAACAAGAGAGTTAGAACTGTTAAAGTGGTGACTGGTTTGAGCCTTTTACATTTTCTGTAAGTGAGATATAGGTAAGATCACACTAGCCACACACAAAAGTTGATTTTTTTCATTCATACCTCCTAAAAATTATTTCACATCATTAAAAGTACACGCATATTTTCAGTGACTTCAGATAACTGTATTTGTCATAACATACTATAATTTATCCACTTTATTTTTTTAGAGATGGGGTCTTGCTCTGCCACCTAGGTTGGAAAGCAGTGGTGGAATCATAGCTCACTATAGCCTCAAACCTGGGCTCAAGCAATCATCCTGCCTCAGCCTCCCACGTAGTTGGGACTGCAGGCAAGCACCACCACACCTGGCTACATACTACAATTTAAACAAATCTTCGTGTTGGTTTAACATTATGAACATTATCCAACACATATGTATCTGCTCAGCCATCCTCTTTTCCAATTAATTTTTATGATTTTAAGTCTTTTCTTATTCTCGACTTTTTCTCCAACCCCACTACCAGATATTCAATACTAATAACCAGGTATATTTCCAAACTTAAAATAATCATATTATCCATTTATTATCCTCACATTAGGGTTATTATTTATGTAATGGAACCTGATTGTTTTGCCCACTTGGTATCTCCTTCCCCTTCTTTCTATAACAGAACCCAATTATTTTAAGGAAACTTCTGTCCCTCACTGCATGCAGTCCCGGTGAAGATGTACCTTCACCTCCCCAGCTAAAGGTACCAATCAAGGTACCTTCTCCTCCCCAGCTAAAGAAAACACACAGATTCAAGTTAGATCAATCAAACTGTGGCTCCTAGAAATGTAAATCTTGGCACAGTGGTGATCAGAACCAATTAATTTTAATAGCTGAACCTTCAAGAGGACATAGGATAATTCCATAGTTCCTGTTACCTAAATATCCAGCTCTTGGATGATAAGAAAGTATGATCTGAAAGTTAGTAGCTTCCAAGTTTACGACAAAAAAAAAAAAATCAAAAACTTTTTTGGAGGGCTGACTACCAGATGCCAGTGACTACTATGCTACTACCCAACTCTACTATCTCCTGGCTGAAAAACAGTAACACAAAAGACTGGAAAAAAGGATCACTTTTCTTCCAGGTGGCCTAGTAGAGAAATTCCATGACTTTACTGCACTTTGAGGTCAGAAAGACCTAGAGTCAAATTCCAGCTCTGCCTCCCATTAGTTCTGTGATCTAGCACAAGTTACTTATTAACCTCTTTGAATACCTTGGTTTTGTTACCCACTTCTACTAGAGTATGATATGTGGACTGGAGATACATTACGTAAAACATTTAATACTACACTTGACAAATAGTAGAAAAACAATAAACACAAGCCATTATTTCTGCTGAAATATTTGAGTATTTAAAATTTCATCAGAAAAGCCAGGTGCAGTGGTACACACCTGTAGCCCCAGCTAATCAGGATGCTGTGGCAGGAGGCTGTGTTGTTTGAGCCCAGGAGTTCAAGGCAGCCTGGGAAACATAGTGAGATCTCATATCTATTTAAACAACAAACCAAAACCAACCCCTGCACACACACACTTCAGCATGTTGCATTATATTACTCATATGACTAAGTTATAATACTGCCTAACCAAAAGACTAACAATATGACAAAGAAAGCCAAAAAAAAGCAAAACAAAACAAAAGTCTGGCTGGGCGCAGTGGCTCACGCCTGTCATCTCAGAACTTTGGGAGGCTGAGGCGGGTGGATCACGAGGTCAGGAGTTCAAGAGCAGCCTGGCCAATATGGTAAAACCCCATCTCTACTAAAAATACAAAAATTAGCCGGGCATAGTGGCATACACCTGTAGTCCCAGCTACTTGGGAGGCTGAGAAAGGAGAATCACTTGAACCCGGGAGATGGAGGTTGCAGTGAGCAGAGGTTGTGCCACTGCACTCCAACCTGGGCGACAGAGTGAGATCCATCTCAAAATGAAAAAAAAGTCTTAAAAATTTGGACAATAAGTTCTTCTAGAACTGTATATTGAGCAAAAATCAATTTTTTTTTTAACAGATAATTCATTATGCCTGGTACGGAGACAGAAACAAATTCTTAAAATGCATGATTCATGAATTTCATAGTTCAGACATTACCAATACTGAAATACCTCCAGCAAGCAGGAAAAATTATTCAATTGATGAACTAAAACTGGCTTGCAACCTTCTTGCAAAAATAACTCTATTAAGAAGATTGTTTTGCCTTATTTTATTTTTTTTCAGAGACAGGGAACTTTATAAAGATCAAGCACACCTATGGAAATATAAATCCATTATTTCTTAATATGTAATCTAAACAAAAAGACTTAAATTTACCTGTAGGAAAATTATTTAAAATTATTCATTATTCTTTTTCCAATTGAGTGACTGGTTAAAAAGAAAAAAAAAAGTATTCATTATTCTTTAAAGAAATATTTTTTCTACTCAGGAGGCTGAGGCAGGAGAATGGCGTGAACCTTGGAGGCCGAGCTTGCAGTGAGCCAAGATCGCGCCACTGCACTCCAGCCTGGGAGACAGGGCAAGACTCCGTCTCAAAAAAAAAGAAATATTTTTTTCTAGTGAGGAAAGAATAGTCTTTTGAATAAATGATGCTGGGACAACTGGCTATTCACATGCAAAACAATGAAATTGTACCCCTCCCTTATACAATATATAAAAATTAACTAAAAATTGATCCTAGATCTAAAGAGCTAAAACTATAAAACACAGGAGTAAATTTTTGTGATCTTGAGTTAGGCAGTGGTTTTTTAGATATGACACCAATGCACAAGACACAAAAGAAAAAAACAGATAAACTGAACTACATCAGAATTAAAATAATCTTTCCCATGCAGAGGTCACTGTTATCTAGCTCATGTCTAATAATAGCAGTAAGAATAGCTAATTTTAATTGAGTAACTTAATGTGTGCCAGACATTGTTCTCAGGACATTACATATATTAGTTCATATAATACTCATAACAACATGAGACAGGTACTACTATCTCCACTTTATACATGTGGAAAACAAGGTGCTGAGAGTTAAACAGGCCCAAGGTCACACAGCTAGCAAGTAGGAGAACAGGGATTCAAACTCTAGCACTTTGATTCTCAAGTCACTAAAATAATTTCATTGTTGGTTTACATGTATACTTTAAGAAATGTGGACAACCTTCTCTCAGAGTAGGTTAAGAACTATTACGTGATGCCTTCTCCCAAACACATATGTATATGCACTTAGCCTTTGGACAATAAATACAATCTTACTCTTCACCATCACTATCCCTCTTTGCTTTGGTTGCAGTCCACTTTTTCCTATATTATTTAAAATGCTGCAATAGAAAACTGCAGAAGTGGTGAGCACGGCTTTGCTCCCAGCACTCACATCCTTATGCTTTAGCAGTTTATGATAATAGTGCATCCCCATTCTCACCCTCAGTTGTTCCCGACATCTTATGCCACAGGAAGTATACCTTTACCTCAGGTGTACTTACAAACAGGTTTTCAAACTATTTTTTAGCTTTTGAAATGTTTTTCCAAAAAAAAGTTGAGATATGTTTCTCACTGACATAGTATATAGATATGTACTTAAATAAAACCAAAGTTTAGTAAATAATGCTTACTCTTATTAGTTGGTATATACTGATATTTTACTTTGTTTTTTTAATCTTTCCTTTTAAAATACTGGTCACAATTCAACTGGTTTCATGATCAACATGTTAAAACTTGAAGTTTGACAAACACTGAACTAGAAAAATATAGGCATTAATAAAATTGTCTGCTTTCCCATAAATACAAATATGATTTTACCCACAAGCTTTCCACATATATTTGCTGAACTGCCCTTTAAAAAAACAAAAAACAAAACAAAACAAAAAACCTTAATTGCTGCACCTCAAACTGAGCTTATTAGTAAATATCACAGCGACACTGGTAGGAGTCTAAGTCTTTTCTCAAAGGGGTTTATCCAAATAATGGTTTTATATAAAAAATAATGCATATAGTTATTTAATAAGAGTTCCTTATTACCTCTGTGATCAATCTCCAAAGATGTGAAATGGTGATCCTTGTCATTTAAGTTCATAATGCAGATTACTGTTACATAAGACACAGACAAAACATATGAACCTTTTAAAAAAAAATTACGGAAGGAGGAAGGTAGGAATCCAAAATACCATGTATTCCTTCACAACCTATTTGCTTCTGTATGTTAAGAGCAGGAAGTCTAGCCCCATATGTTTCTTTTTTCCCTCTCTCTGCGACCGTACTGATAAGAAATGGCCTTCCTGGTAAGGGAGGGGAAAGTAAACGTTGTAAGTTGATAGTGGAAGTTCCAGAATGTTAGCAGACTCCAAATCAAAGATTAAAAAGGTAACGGCAAGAATAGTGCCTCATATTTAGCAGGTGGTCAATTAAATGTCTACTGGGTAAATGAATAGCATAAAAGAAGCATATGCTATTAAAATTTGTTCATTCAATCATATTTAACTGTCTAAACTGCAAAGACTTGCAAGTTAATGCCAAATCCCAAAGAAGTTTTCCAAAGATACACAACCAGGCAGCAGCAATACTAAGCCCGTTACTCAATTTACTGTTTTCTTTTCTGTTCTGTTGCCACCTCAAATTAAAAAGCCACATCCTTAGTTAGAGATGATAAGGTGGACATTAAGACATCTGTGTAACTGGAAACAGGTTCCACATTTAATTATTATGCCTGCATATATGATGAGCTGTATAATACATGAATAAAAAGATATATAAAATTTATCAGAGAAATCAGAATAAATCCACTTTATGACCTAATTAAAGTTGCAAAGGGCTACAAAGAAACTAGAAATTAAACATATGTTAATTTAAAAACACGAAACAAAACCTTAAAGTACAATGTAAGCTACCAGTCTCCTGCATAAACACAAAGCAGAAACCTCGATGCTGGGAAAACAGCCAAAATTACAAACTTAATCAGTGCGGCAGGAAATCTGTTCACACTTTGAAATCTTGATACAAAGCATTTCTGACAAGCCATGAGATGGCATAAAATTAACCATACTTAAGTGTTAGCTATTTTTAGAAAATCAAGCTAGAGGTAGTAATATGAGCCACATTTTATTGAAGATTTGAAATTCAGATACTGTGGGAAAAGTACATTTAAAAACAGGCTTTGTTTTATACTGCTGTTGTAGAAACAAGGAGTTTTTGACACCAAATAAACAATCTTTAGTTGTTCCTTTAATTTACAGACACTTAGATGGATTAATTTTTTAAGAACAGGTTTAATTTTCCAGTTGGATAAAGTATTAGGCCCAATAAAAATATAGTAAGTATCTGAATCCTAAAATCTTTTTACAAAGAGCCTACAGAATGTCCCTCTGGCAATAAGAACATCATATAACACCTGGATTTTCAAATAATGTGTAAAAAATGATACTTTTCAGAGGGAAGAAAAAGGAACAAACCTCTATTATAATAGAGACCCAAAAAAGCTTTATTTAGATACATTGCTGAGCTAATGAATGTCAAGAAATAATTTCAGGGAGAAACTTGAAAAAATAAGATTCCAAACTTCTATTTCAATGGCAAAGCTACACTTTTTGTGGTTAGTCCTGTGGGATCTGCCATCATTCTTCTAACTTCCACCTTTCTACACTACCCTCTCCAGTGACTCACAACAAAACTGCCTTTGTTGTACCAAAACTAATCCAAGAGCAACATACTAGGCATTTCCTCCTGTCATAGCATTTACTCATTTTATCATATCCACCAGGAATGCCCAAAAGAACTTGAGTTCCCTTGTGTATGTGAGAACAGTCTACTTTGATAACACTTGTCAAAAGGAGACTCATCTCTTCTTCCCAGTGTTCTTTGGGACTTTAGCGGAAGAAGAGATTTCTGCATTTCTATCATTCACTAGAAATTTACTAACTTCCTCGGGATTATGTTTGTTTTTCTTATGCCTCCACCAGACTTAAAACACAAGTTACTATGAAGATACGTGTAGTGAGAAGCAGTTTAGCCTCATGATTAGAGTATGAGCCAAATATCTGGATGGAATTCTGACTTTTCCTTAACAATTCCTTACCTCAGTCCTGTCAACTAGAAAATGGGGATTATAACAGTACCTACTTCATAAACTTGTGATGAGGATTTAAATGATTTCATATACATAAAGCACTTAGAACAAGTCAGGCACAGTGGCTCGCACCTGTAATCTCAGCTACTTAGGAGGCCAAGGCAGGAGGGTCACTTGAGCCCAGGAGTTGGAGACCAGCCTGGACAACATAGTGAGACTCTCTCTAAAAAAAAATAAATAAATAAATAAATAAATAAATAATTTGTTTTTTAAATTAGCCACGCATGGTATTGCATGCCTGCAGTTCCAGGTACCAAGGAGGGTGAGACAGGAGGATCTAAGCCCAGTAGTTCAAGGCTGCAGTTTGCTATAATCACTCCACTGCACTCCAGCCTGGGTGAAAGAATGATACCTCTCTCTTAAGAAAAAAAAAAAAGAACCCCACTTAGAATAGTATCCAGCTAACAGGAAATTCTAATAAATATTAACTATTATTAATAAATTAAATATTTAAATAATTGTTACAGGCCCTCCTGGAGTAAATGGAGGCTCAGGCCCAAAGGATCAAATCCATTATAAAGGGTTGGTAGAAGAAAGAAATTTGACCTCCAAAATACTTAAACATCTTGAACAAATTAAGAAGAAAAAGTGTAAAACTAACAGTCCAAATAAGCCAAGCATTTCTTCCTGATAAAAAAGGAAGAGACATTTTGAGAGAGCTTGATTGTTTCTATATAGGAAATATACCCCTAAAGATGGCTATTTCTAAAATGTCATCTTAATTTCTAATCTATCAATAGTACATTAAACTAATTCTATTTTGAATCTACTTATACTTCTAGATTTGACATTATTTACTTAAGTAGGAAGCTTCACCATTTACCATCTCACCTTGAAAAGTAGTATTAAATTCAATTTGCCCAACAAAGGTAATCCCTGGCTATACCACGCAGGGATTTACTAAACAGATTCATGTTTACTTTATTGATATCCTTCACAATTTTATACTTTATCTGCCTCTTCACTATCAGCCTGAACATCAATTTTAATCATTATATAGTTTTGTTCTTCCTCACAGGGAAGCTGATTCAGTTTTTTCGATCTGTTAGCTGCCTGTCTCCATCAATTCCATTGTATTGACCCATGGCTACAACGGGTCATAAATTATGGAAAACAAATAACATCTTACGCATAGACACTAGGATACTACGGTATGTTTGAGGTAATACAGTGCAGACATGTAAGCCTAATAACTCACTTATCTCAACTACACATACACAACGTTACTTTCAATAACAATGGCTTATATTAATAGATTAAGTCTCATCAAGGGATAAAGAACCTAATTGAGCTGCCAAGAGTGGGACTGATTTAGATCCGAAGCAAGATTCTTAAAGGATTATTTATGAAAGCATAATAGAAATAAAAAGCTTATGTTTTGGTAATATCAGTAACCATGCCTACTCTCACATAAGTTTTGACTTACTTCTTATTACTTTTATATTTTATACTGAGACAGTCCATAAGTAAGTTCTGTCAAAGACTATTAAGCTTCACAAAAGGAATTTAAATTTCTGAAGCCCAGGTATTCTATCATTATTAACAAACAAATGTTCTAATAGCATGAGGAAAATATAGCCTGTCTTGCTTTACAGTTTAATTACTGATTAGCAAATAATGTGACATTTGAACAGTCACTATTCATTCACCTTGCTTCCTGTTTAAAGAAATCCTTACCAGAAAACTGATAATGAGAACATAGGAAATAGAAGAACTTAAGATCGCAACATTAAGAATAAAAAAATAAAAAACTCTGGGTGGTGTGATTATGAGAAATTATTTTCTTCTTTATGCTTTTAGATATTTCTTCCAAATGTTCTAACATATACATATACCCATATATTGAAATTTTATTAGGAAGGCAACTCTGTAAGAGAAAGCACAATATATGTAACATGATCCTTACACAGCTTTTCTCAAAATGTAAAAAGCAAGTTTTTACTAACTACAGAATACTACAAGATAAATAATGTTACAACTGTTCAGACCCTAAAATAGTGTCTAGCAAACACAATGTAACCAATAGACATTTGTTGAATACATTATGTTTAAATTATAGTGGAACTTAATACTAAAAAAAAAGTGTTATCAGAACACAAAGTATATTTTAAATAAAGCAGACTAATTATATTAGAAAAACATTATTACTTCCTTATATACTTACAAATAAAAGTTTGGGTTAAATCATAAGGTGAGTTTATAATATCATACAGTAATTCAAACTAATGTGGCTCAAAAATGAAGTCACATAAGCTAAGAGATTTTTCTTGAAGTTCAATTTTTTTTCTAGGACAACAAATGTCAACCAGTCTGTTTTTAGAATATGCAATTTAACAAAAATGAAAAAAAGGGCAGTAATTAACATGCAATTAATTTTAAGGAGACTAAGGAAGTGACTGCCAAAAGATTTACAGGCATGCTGGGTGCTCTTCTGCTTTTCACAAACCAGTAACTATTATTTTTTTCTGACATTTAGTAAAGTACCCTAAACGTGTTTTATCCTATCAAATTTCACAAGATACCTGTGGAAGACAATGTAGTATCTTACTCAGCCAAAATACCTATTAAATAAAAAGTATTAATATAGAAATTATTCATCTCTATTGTCATTTTAAAATGTTCTAAAATGTAGGTAAAGCTTTTGCTATAAATTTACTTTGTGGTGTAAAATCTACATGGTAATTGGCAGCAGCTGAAATATAATGGTACATAGTCACCTGATTTCTCTGGGTAAATTAAAGGAAATGTAAGTTTTCTGAAGGAAGAAAAATATTACTTTTTAGGTGCCAACCAACACGACTTTAGTTGGCTGTAAAAGCATATTAATTCATTTTCAGAGTTAGAAAGAAGATTTTCATGCAGAAGATGGAGTCGGAGCCCGACGTGATCTGAAGCAGTACTAATCTGCACAGAGAAAACAATCAGGGATGGCTACATAACCATTCGGAAGGTTGTATTTTCCCCTTACTAATAACCCAGGGCAACTAAACAACGTACAGCAGTATTTAAAGGACAAACGAGAACCAGTTTAAGCTAGAGGACCGCCCAGCCGCATGCAAAACATACCAACAGAGAATTCACAGCAAGGGGATGGTATTACCTCTTTTATGTAATTCCCTCAGGGGAATATTGTCTCCTCCCCCGTCATAAGGCAAATAAGGGTCGGAAGAAGCATCCATAATTAGAATTTTTAAAAAGAAGAAAAAGAAAAAGAAAAGCTTGCTAGCTTAAAAAGAAAGTGGCATTTCTTCCATCCCTGCTGCAGCAAGCAAGGGAGATGCCATGTTTGATGAGGTTAGAACTGTAGTTCGACTCGCTGAAGCGACTGGGTTCTTCCACAGTGGATGATGTCATCAAAGGGAAATTATTGCAGCCTGGTTGCTAGTGGCTACAATCTAGCAAGGCTTAGAGGCGGAACAGCCTTCTTAATCAGGTCCTGCTACGTATGACGATGACTAAGCTCCAAGTATAACACACAAAACTGGTTTGAGAATTTTAAAGCACTCACAATACAGCTTCTGTAGCATCAGTGGTAACGACAGTAAAACAATAGAAACATTATTTCTTTTGGTTTTAAGATAAATATAAAGGGGAAAAAGTAATACAGAGATGTAAAAAGGAAATTCTGAATGCAGACAATGCCCTTTTTCATTTCTAATGTAAAAAAATGACAGCAGCACTCTAGTAAGTTTGTGTGCTTTTACGAGAGAATGTACCAGTTTTATACAGTAATGTCATGTGAGTCATAGCCATAAAAAAACTACAATATGCCAAAGGTTTCTCAAGAAACTTGGTTCTAAGTCTATCAAAAATAAAAAATAGTCTACAATATACAGCAGCCTTTCATTGAAGATTTAAAAACCGAATAACTGAAGAGTTGAATAGTGTTTTATCCCACTCACCAATCTCCTCCAGCAGCTTCTTGTTTCCTTTCTTGAAGGAACTAGCTAGTAAGACATCGTAGCTTTTGAGGAGAAAGAAAACTTATCAACATACTAAGTAACTTTACTATTGTGTGTGCGTAAACTATGCAAAAAAGGTTTACTGAGCAGAAGACTTTCCTATCTTTACTAACTTCCTATTTTTCTTACCTCATAAGGGTTTTGTGTTTTTGAAATAACTTTTAGCAAAATGTGTCTCAACTTTTCTAGAAATTGTTATAAAATTCAGAAATTGTTTCTTTAATAGAAATTTTTATGAATTTTAGTTATTTGGGGTCTTTTAAAAAAACTGTATAGGTTAAATCAAGTTTTTGTATTTTAAATCTCAGATAAACAGAGCTTCTTATAAAATCTCACCTGGAATTTGGGAGACAGGGTTCCGGGAAAGGAATATAGACTAGAATTACTGCCACAGGAATATTCTATCTTATCCTGATTCTAGCTATTAAAATTTATGATAGGATAGTAGGTGATTTTTTCTTTATTTTCTGTATTTTCCAAATTTTCTTGGCAATTTTTTCTTCTATGCTCCTTCCTGGACATTGAGTCAATAATTTTTTAAAACAAGGAAAGCTCTGACAAAGGCTAACTGTACTAAATTAGCTCAATGTAAATTTGGGAGTTTGTGGTTCTTTTTTTTGTATGTTCTACCACCATATAATTTTTCTAAATATTTAATTACATGGAGTTGATAAAGGGTTTTGTTTTTATACCATTCACGTTCTTATACGTCTTTACATAAAAAATCAAAATCTCTCCACAAGATTTCCCGGTAATTGTAGGCACTCTCTTAACTTGTTTTTCCTGATCTACAACTTGATCATAAAAATGAAAATGACAGCACTCACTGAAGGGTCAAATCCTCCCGGTAAAATAAATATTGACAATGCCTCATATGTAAAAGTTTTGTAGCCATATTTGAATTATTTTGTAAGATAAACAATTGTGTGTATATATAATATATAATCTATATAATTATATCTGTATAGAATTAAGTTTAGAGTAAGACACATCAAGCCCTTAGCAATTGTTATCACTGAGACATAAGGTAGAGAGGTTGGGGGGTACATTCAGTGTTTATATAATTCCACACTGTTTAAACAAATATATTACTTCTGTAATAATAAATCTAAAAATA